AAAAAAAAAAAATCTAAAAGAGAATATAGTAAGTAGAAATCATTGATAACGGGTAAGATCTATGGTTCTCCTGGTTGTAGCTTTGTTACACTCAAGAAGCCGAAGGGTAATGAGAGCCATAATTGGGGTTTATGATAGATTGAAGGTAGTCAGAATATTTGGCCTTGATACTATTAAGACCTGGGTCCTGCCCCTGAAATGGAAACTGAGTGACCTAACTGAAGATCGCTGCTTTGTGTTGACCCCCTGCCCTCCCCCTGCCGCACAGCACAGAAGCTTTATGGTGTGGCCAGGACAAGGGTGGTGACGAAGGCAAGGAAGGGGCCTGGGAGCTGGTCATTAATTGCCTGGAGATATGGTGACAGGTTTACAATGGAACGTAATTTTATTCCTCACTTCCTCCAGTGTCCGTGCTCAGCGTTCTCGCCACACCCTGGCCTGGGTGCCTCTCAGCAATGAGTCTCCTCCTCTGTCCGTTTTCCATTTCACTTCTCTTCACAAAAGAGCAGTGGAACGTGAAACAAAACCGAGCTCACTATTGAAAGCATGCAAACACCGCAACTAATTCAAACAAGATAGTTCAGACCCTTGCTTCCCTGGGGCTTGCAAATGGAATTTCTTTTAACTTTTCCTACCAAGCCCAGATAGTGAAGAGTTAGACATCGTGGGCTGCAGTCTGGCACGGCTACTCAGCTTGGTTCTTGTAGCACAAAAGCAGTTACAGAAAAAATATATATAAACAAGTACGTGTGGCTGTGTGAATAAAACTTTATAAAAATAAGCATTGGGCCACATTCGGCCTGCAGGTAGCAGTTGGCCAATCCCTGCACTAAAAACATGTTTTGTTTTGTTTTGTTTTTTTAAGGATTTTATTTATTTATTCATGAGAGACAGAGACAGAGAGAGGGAGAAGCAGGCTCCCCGCAGAGCAGGGAGCCCGATGCGGGACTCGATCCCAGGACCCTGGGATCATGACCTGAGCCGAAGGCAGACGCTTAACCATCTGAGCCACCCAGGCGCCCTAAAAACATGTTTTATTTTATGTTTAGGAACTCCCAATTCAGCGAGTCTTTGATTGTTAGGAAACTATAATAAATTATTTGAGATGGAATTATGAGTGATTTTCCCTCTTAACCTGCTTCTCAGTGAATTTGGAGTGATACTTGTTTTTGTCATTGAAAGCGTGAATTTAAAGAAACGGTTGCCTTCTTTTCGTATTTATAGATATTCCACCAACCTGTAACATTATTAGGTGTTAGAATTACTGGATTAGAGATGGAGAATAAAGAAAATTTTGCATATAAATGTCCTTCTTCAGCTTATGATTCACAGTACATCCAAGGGGTTCTTTGAAGATTAATCCAGCCAATTCATGTTTCTCCACTGAAATGGGAGTTTTGGTCCTTCTCGCTTGTCTCAACAGCACGAATTGTCCTCTTACCCTGTGATTTCCTAGGAACTTGGACCCCGATTGGCTGCAATGCTGAACTTTAATCTTCAGCAACTCTGTGGCCCCAAGTGCCGTGACCTGAAAGTTGAAAACCCTGAGAAGTATGGCTTTGAACCAAAGAAGCTGTTGGACCAACTGACGGATATTTACCTGCAGCTGGACTGCGCCCGGTTCGCCAAAGCCATTGCTGACGACCAGGTCAGTGCCCAGGGAGCAGGCCATTTCAGGGGGAGGCTGGGCCTCAGGCCGCCGACCCGGCTGGCCAGAGTTCGCATCTCTCTGGACTTCCTGGCAGACCCATCTGTCCCTGGGTTTTGCCCACTTGGAATCAGGGAAGGCGGTACTTTTCAACTTGTGGTTTGGGAGGTTTTTAGTACGTAAGTGGAAATAATCACCACGTGGGCCAGGGGATCTTGTCTGGTGTAAATGAAGATGAATCAGCTCTTTTCCTTCGGGTGTGAAAGCCGATTTGGCTCCCGGATCCGTCTCCAGTGGGGTTCCTAGCCCATCCTGCCAAGGGCCTCATGCAGCAGATCCATCACCTTCCCACCAAGGTCCAGCCTTCTCAGGGGTTCAGGGGTCCCAGTCTGCTTCCCAAGCCCCCCGCGCTGGTGCTGTTATTGCGATTTCTGGTTTCAAACCTCGTGTGGTTATCTTCACAGTCTTCTCTCTGCTCTATTCCTTGTGTCCGCCGCAGTCATGACGCCCGTTCCATGTTTGTCATTTCCACACCTGCCAATGTAGTCCAAGCACCCCCACCCCCTGACTTCCCAGCAGTCTCATAAAGGGCTCCCCCACCCGCCGTGTTCTGTCCTGCATCATGGCAGCATCCTGAGAGCTGACGTTTATCATTTGAATACCAAGTTCTAACCACTTGGCTTGTTTTCGTTGACTTAATCCTCGCAAAATCCTGTGGTATGGGTTCTATTAGATTCCTCATTCTTACCTGAGGAAACTGAGGCACAGAGAGTTGACGCAGCTTGCTCCAGGCAGCAGGGAGTATGGGATAGAGGCAGGGTTCGTACCCAGGCAGTCTGGCCCTGAGCAGGTACTCCCAGCCTCTCTGCCCTCTACTGAAAACACCCAAAAAGTTCCATGCTCATCTGTCTCTCCATCTTTGTTCACACTCTCTGTCCAAATCTCACGTTTCAGGTTAACCAGCAGTAGGGGTTCTAGAAGGTTCTTCACCCATATCTCACCCAAAGGAATGATAGTAAAATATGGAAATTGTAGGTACTACTTTTTTTAATAACAGCTTTACTGAGATATAATTCACATATGTGGGTACTTTTGGATGTAAGCAAGAGAGTCGGTCTTGACAGAGTGATGGGGAAACAACACATATGTCTAAAGCAGGTTTTCCATAAAAAGTGGTGGTAAAGGGGCGCCTGGGTGGCGAAGTAGGTTACACGTCTGCCTTCAGCTCAGGTCACGATTCCAGGGTCCTGGGATCAGGCCTTGCATTGGGCTCCCTGCTCAGCAGAGAGCCTGCTTCTCCTGCTCCCTCTGCTGCTCCCCCTGCTTGTTTTCTCTCTCTCTCTGTCAGATAAATAAAATCCTTAAAAAAAAAAAAAAAAAGGTGGTATAGGAGGGGGTAAGAGTTTGCAGTTACTGTGGGGAGGTGCAAGGATGTTTTTCTAGCTGATAACTCTACAATACTGCACATGCTGACCTCTGGACAGTAAGTGGCAGTCTGCAGTTGACAAAGAAAACGAAGACGCGCCCCCATCCGGATGGGGGTGTCTGCTGGACGGCAGGCCAACTGCAGCCAGGCTGTGGTAGCCTGGCCAGAGGTCGCGGTGTGAGAAGTCCCCAGAGACTCTTCTGCTCTTTACTGTAAGAGACTTGGAAGAGTCACGTAGCGGGGTCTTGCTGGCAGGCCTTGCTGTGGCTGCCACATCACGAGTGGTGAACGTAACCAACTTGCAGTGTGAATAAACACAGCACAGCCCGTGAGATGGTGAAGACCAAGTGGGGGACAATGCCCGGTGATACCTGTGGGGTGGGGTGGGGGCCTGTGGTGGCACCCGGCTTGAGTCGTAGGCCGCACTTTCTGCACCGTGGCACGTGGCTTTTCTTGAGTGTCTCTGTAGCCCTGCTCTTCCAGACTCGTGGAGCAAACACACACATGTACCAGTGTTGCCATGGACAGGAAAACATTTTAAGTGGGCTTTTTGCTTCCTTTTACAGTGTGGTGTTTGTTCTGATTGTTGGGCATTTTCCATTTATAGTGGCTGTAAGCTGATTAGGGCCCTGATGATCGTCTCAGAAGAGGGTTTGGGGGGCTGAGGAAGGAAGGTTGGACGTCTAGAAAGCTCCAGAGGAATAGTAGTGGAATTTTGTTTGCTCCTTTGGGAGCAGTGGTCTTGGTTTGGCCTGGTATGTCTGGGAAGACCAGGGAAGAAGAAAATGGCGGCCGTGCAAGGAAAGAAACTCAGAAGCTTCTCTCCCCGTCAGCCAAGAGCGGACTAAAGACAAGTGTCTAGAAGAGGTGACAGGAGGACCGGCACGAAGAGCCACTGAGCTTTATGCTCACAAACTGGAGGAGAGAGCCCCTTGTCAGAGGAGTGGAGAACAGTTGTCCTGGAGATGAGGGAGCCTAGGACAGGGAGGCTTTAGGGGGACTCTGTGTGCTGCATTGATCGCCATGCAGGACTAGCTCTCATGGACAGACTTTGTGCATGGACTGCAGGTCTGCTGTTCCTGGAGCACTGTCCATTAGCACTGGGGTCTGTTCAAAAATAAAGAGGGGCGCCTGGGTGGCTAAGTCGGTTGAGCATGTGACTCTTGACATTGGCTCAAGTCATGATCTCCCAGTCATGAGATGGAGCCCCACGTCGGGTTCCACACTCGGTGTGGAGTCTGCTTAAGATTCTCTCCCTTCCCCCTCTGCCCCTCCCCTTGCTCGCACTCAAGTGTTGTCTCTCTATAAAATAAATAAATAAAATCTTTAAAAAGTAAAATAAAATGAAAATAAAGAACAAAGAGCCCATCTGAAGTCACACTTCTCCCATCCATCTTTCCTTTTTGTTTTTGTTTTTTTTTAATTGAGGTGAAATTCACATAAGATTCACCATTTTATTTTATTTTTTTAAAGATTTTATTTATTTATTTGACAGAGAGAGACACAGCGAGAGAGGGAACACAAGCAGGGGGAGTGGGAGAGGGAGAAGCAGGCTTCCCGCGGAGCAGGGAGCCCGATGCTGGGCTCAATCCCAGGACCCTGAGATCATGACCTAAGCCGAAGGCAGATGCTTAACGACTGAGCCACCCAGGCGCCCCAAGATTCACCATTTTAAAGTGTGCAATTTGGTGACTTTTAGTGCATTCCCAGTGTTACGCAACCTCCACCTCTCTCTAGTGCCAACATCATATGCAAACGTCTCCCCCAGAAGGAAGTGCCATATTTATTAAGCAGGCACTGTCCATCCCCCCGTCACTCCAGCCCTGGGCAACCACTGATCTGCTTTCTGTCTTCGTTTTACCTAATTTTAGATTTACCTATTGCCTATTCTGGATATTTCATGTAAATGGGATAATACAATATGTTACCTTTTGTGTCTAGCTTCTTTCATTTAGCATAATGTTTTTAAGGTTCATCCATGTACAGTACTTCATGCCTTTCTTATGGTTGAATAATATCTCATTACGTGGATCTACCATGATATGCTCATCTGTTCATCCATTGGTGGACCTTTGAGTTGTTTCCACCGTTTGGCTATTATAAATGGTGCTGCGCTGAACATTTGTGACCAAGTATTTGAATACCTGTTTTTGATTCTTTTTTTTTTTTTTTAAGATTTTATTTATTTATTTAACAGAGAGAGACATAGCGAGAGAGGAACGCAAGCAGGGGGAGTGGGAGAGGGAGAAGCAGGCTTCCTGCTGAGCAGGGAGCCCAATGTGGGGCTCGATCCCAGGACCCTGGGATCATGACCTGAGCCGAAGGCAGATGCTTAACGACTGAGCCACCCAGGTGCCCCTGCCTGATTTTAATTCTTTTGGGTATATGCTCAGGAGTCGAATCGCTGAATCTTACGGTAATACGATGTTGAACTTTTCCAGGACCTTTCCCACTGTGTCCCACAGTGGCCGAACCATTTTCCATTCCCACCAGCAGTGGACAAGGGGTCTCATTTCAGTTTCTTCACATCCTCACCAACACTTGTTATTTTTTCGTTTTTTTTAATAGCCACCCTGTTGGGAGTGAAGTGGTACTTCACTGTGGTTCTGATTCACATTTTCATAATGACAAATTTCATGTGCTTCTCGGCCATCTGTATATCTTTTTTGGAGAAATGGCTATTCAAGTCCTTCACCATTTTTTTTTTTAATGGATTGTTTGTATTTTGTTGTTGAATTGTAGGAGTTCTTTATATATTGTGGATACAAGACCTTTATCAGATATATGATTTGTAGATATTTCTGTGTTTAATTTTTGAATGACTCCGTAAGATCCTTGAGGACAAGAACAGCATCTTTGCTGCGTCTCTTACCCAACCCACATCAGACTCGAAGCAGCAGCTCAGTAATGTGCCTTTGTTCCATGCATTGATTCCATTGCTCTGTGAGGCTGAATGCCACATCCCCTTATCGCGGGTTGCCTTTGATTTCTGATAATGCCCACCACACTGCTCTTAGAAGTTGACTTATAAGTAAGCACAAGTCAGTTGGTTAAAAACTCATCATCATTTGAGAAATAGAGTGGGTGATGTTTCACAAGGAAAGCAAGTGGCTCCTTGTTACAAAGAGAAGTTCAAGGTGAAATCGTCTCAGTCGCAACACCCAACCCGCAATAAGTCCCTGTGCGCAATATTTTAATTTTGCCCTTCCAACATCTTACTATAATCTTTTGGCCACTTATCCGCCGTGCCCCTCCCCAAAGGGATAGAGACTGTGGCTTCCTGGCTCATAAGAAGGAGAGGTCAAATAAGGTATTTGCTGAATCCGTGTAGTAATTTAGTTTCAGAAAACTATACTCAAGGCTCTTGGAACTTTTCAGGATTGTACGAGATTACGAGATGGCTTTTAGGATTCCTGCCAGGCCGATGGTAGTGCGTGCCCTTCCCTCTCTCTTCCGTGTGGGTGTGTATACTCACTTAGAAACTGGAGTTAAAGAAGAAAAGAAGAAAGGTTGAGAAATCTCAACCCCATGCTCTAAGAAAATACAGGTATTGACATGAATTCATCCCATAGACGTTCGTCTGAGTCCTTGGAAGGGAAGCACCGCTCAGGGGTTATCGGGCCATCGTTCAGAGGCTCAGGCTTGATCAGTCTCCTCCTCTGTTCGCATCACTGTCACTGAATTGACAAGTGGCCAGTGTTTTTGCCATAAGTGCAAATTCGGATATGCTGTGATATTTCAAAACGGCAATGATGTATATGAATTAGGCACGTGTCAGGTGGCTGTTACCACCCCCCATTTTATGCCGGAGGAACCTGGGGCCCAGAGGGGTTTGCTTGAGACTACCCAGTGGGTAGACTGTGGAGCCAGAGTTCAAGTCCAAGTTCATCTGGGTCTTTGGTGGGCACTTGTCCTCTCTCCACCATCCCTCATGCTCCTCTCAGCAGAGCACCTGACATTTAATAGTGTTGAGTTGAGAGCTCTGGAAGAAAGACTGACCACGAACAGGATAAAGCTCCTTTTGATTATGAACCATGTTGGGTTGTTTTCACCATGTTGACCTTTAGGGAAAAGAGGCGACATTTGTTGCAGGGCACAGTGCCTTTCAAAGCCTCACACAGACGCGATTTTCATTCTTTTTGATATTTAAATTTTAGGGGCGCCTGGGTGGCTCAGTCAGCTAAGTGTCGGACTCTTGATTTTGTCGCATCATGATCTCAGGGTCCTGGGATCGAGCCCTGCATCGGGCTCCCTGCTCAGCAGGGAGTCTGCTTGTCTGCTTGAGATTCTCCCTCTGCCCTTCCCCCCCGCTCTCTCAAATAAATAAATAAATAATTTAAATTCAAATTTTAAAAGAGATACATGTTTGATGTAGAAAATAATTCCAAGGGCGCCTGGGTGGCTCAGCTGGTTGAGCAACTGCCTTCGGCTCAGGTCATGATCCTGGAGTCCCGGGATCGAGTCCCGCATCGGGCTCCCTGCTCGGCGGGGGGTCTGCTTCTCCCTCTGACCCTCTTCCCTCTCATGCTCTCTGTCTCTCATTCTCTCTCTCAAATAAATAAATAAATAAATAATCTTTTTAAAAAAAAAAAAACCAAAATTCAAAATTCCCCTCATTTGCCTCAATCCTGAAGTCGTCCTCAGAGGTAAGGACTGGTGCAGTCTGGTAGGTGTTACTCCAGTCTGTATGTGTTTATAGCCACGTAGAACTGTTTATGTACACATTAGCATTTTAGGGCTTTTTTAGAAAGACACAAATGGATCATACTTCAGGCACTTTCTGCAGCTTGCTTTTTTCCCACTTAAAATATATTGATGTCTCACATTGTCTTCCCTCATTCGCAGAGATCCTACAGCAAAGAGTTGTTTGAAGAAGTGATCTCGAAGATGCGGAAGGCGGGGATCAAATCCACCATAGCGATCGAGAAGTTTAAGCTCCTCGCGGAGAAGGTGGAGGAGATAGTGGCCAAGAACGCGCGCGCAGAAATCGACTACAGCGACGCCCCCGACGAGTTCAGAGGCAAGCGGGCCGCTCTCTTCGTGCCGAATTCTTTGAATTACCTGGACACACGTAACGTGAAAAGACAGCGTTCTGTGCTTTTAACTTCTGTATGATGTGCTAGAGTTACTCCTTGAGACACGTCTGAAATTACATTTGCCTACTTTTAGTTCCTGTTGTAAATTAAAAGGGGGGAAGAGTCCTTATCTTGATTTCAAACCGAGTGCCAGCTGTGAAAATGCCGAGCTCAGCCTTGCCTGCGCAAGAAGGGATTTGCATTTCCAAAGAAGAGTCCTGGAAGGTCTCGGATGAAGGGGTCCAGCTGGGGTCCAGCCGCTGTCTTTCCTGCAGAGCCCTGGTCCTTTTCCTCTGCCCCCCCCCCAGCTGTAGCTGACGAAGGGGGTGTCCCCCTCCCCCGAAGGCACCTTGGACGTCTATATCTCATGCCAACTTCGGCTGCACTTGGGGGCCTGGTCGGACCATGCGATTGCTGTGTCTGTGGATAGACACTGTTAGGAGGGGCTTTGTTTCGTTTTCAGTTTCAGTTTTGGGCGCCGAATGAGAGTTTGCTTTGCTTTGTCTCCGCAGACCCTCTGATGGACACCCTGATGACCGACCCCGTGCGGCTGCCGTCGGGCACCATCATGGACCGCTCCATCATCCTGCGGCACTTGCTCAACTCTCCCACGGACCCCTTCAACCGACAGATGCTGACCGAGAGCATGCTGGAACCAGGTAGAGGAGTGGCGCCCGAATCCCGTGCCAGAGATCCATCAGAAGGGGGCAGTTTACCAAATCCAGAAGCTTCCATAGCTTACGGCACTTCATGGAAAAGACACGAAATATTCTTTGCTCTGATTCACTGTGGGAGTCTAGTCCTTATGTCCTGCTTCTTCCTCAGTCCTCGTGTCAGTGAGGGAATGAATGGCCTTTTCTTTCCGTTTGGAGAGAACTGCAGGCTGCATCTCCTAGGAAGAGCCCTCCCGTCTGGGGCCATTAATCCTCTCCTTTTCTCTTCCCAGTGCCAGAACTGAAAGAACAGATTCACGCCTGGATGAGAGAGAAACAAAACAGTGATCATTAAACCGTCCCCCGTGCCCACCCTCTGCGAGCCGGCCAAGGCCAGCCAGGCAGGCGGAAGCCGCGTCGGTGGCGGAGACGCTGTTCAGACGTTTTCGGCCCCGCACGGCAGAGACGCCGAGAGCCCCCCAGAGTGACCAGACGGTGGAGACCTGCAAGGACGTGGATGAGAAGAGGAGCCCCATTCCTGTACATATATTTAAGTGACACACATGGTCAAAAGCTTGAGGGACACACTTTACGATTGCTTGTGTAATAAAGCTTGTCCTTCCTATGTCACCATTTGGGGCTTTTGCAATGGAAGTCTTTTAGTGATTGATGACAAATGGGTCTGGGCAGCATCCCGTTCATCCCCCCCCCCAATCCAATATCCGTTGATTTGATTGTGATTAGAGAACCTTGGACATTTTGCTGCTAAAGAATCCTTCCCCCGCTCCCTTCCTGACCCGACTTGCACTGCTGTGGATTTTTTTAAGAGAAGCAAAAACAAAAATAAACTCCTTCCCCCTGGCCCTCCAAACATATATTCTGTGAGATAACTGTGCCTGCAACAAAGTGTTAATCCTGGGATCGTATTTTTATATCATATTCACATATTTGTTTTTTTTAATTGGTGTTAGATGACATGATTAATAAAAAAGGCAAGATATTTTCAGAATTTGAATTTCAGTTTTTATTTTTTTTCTTTTGAAATGTCCCCTTAAAGTTTTTTTATTCGAAACAAAATGAAGAGAACCTGTTGCTCTGGTCCTTGTCATAAGGCCTCTACTAGGAATCTGAGGAACAGCTGCAGCAAAGGAAGTGTTCAAGTATATCAGGATTTACACAACTTACAGTTTTGGGGGGCGGGCCTGGGGGGGGGAGGGTGCGGACAGTTCAAAACCATTACAGTTATCCTAGGAGGGAAAAGAAATTCCTCAACTCTGGAGTCTGTGAGTTCGAGGCAGGGGATCATCTGTAGGACGTGTCCTTCGGGGCTTGGCCTGACCAAAGTGAAAACAGGGTGCAGGAAACATGGACGTGTGTCTGCTTGTAAACACACACACACACACACACACACACACACACACACAGAAACATAAGACTTTGTATTACTGCTCCCGACTTTAACATACTTGAATTCTCACATTTCCTTGGGGTAAAAAAGGGTCTGAAACCGTAAAGTGTTTGGAAGAAATTAAGCTACGAGAACAGACTTTCTTTTCTTTTCCTTTTTTTCCACCCCCCTCCACAGACAATGTCCTCTGTTCGATTCCTAACGCAAACTACAATAAATGGTGATACACATTCAGAAGGAACCTTCTTTGAGTCTCTTCTTTTTGTGGAAAGCAAAGGGGTGGGTGAAGAACAAGAGCCAAATGAGTTTGCATGTGGTGAATCCTCTTGTCTGCAGCCAATTAAGAGTTGCTATTTTTAAAATAAAACTTTCACGTTTGTATCAGTCTCGGTCCTCCATTTGGTTCTCATTTCACCGTTTGCGTGTGTGAGGGGGCTGAGCTTTGTCACATTCGGTCTCTGCTATTCTCAACTTGGTCCCCGTGTCCAGTACCTTTTCCCTGACTTCTCCAGTTCTTCCTCAAAGCCAGCCAGTGTCATTGTGCGATGATAAAAGCGAGCATTTACTGTGTGCTGGGTACTCTGCACGAAGAGGATTTTGCACACTTACGGCTTCATCCTCTAAGAAGGCGATACTCTCGGGGCACCTGGTTGGCTCAGTGGGTTGAGCGGCCGACTCTTGATTTCGGCTCAGGTCATGATCTCAGGGTCCTGGGATCACCCCCCCCCGTCGGGCTCCCTGTTCAGCGGGGAGTCCGCTTGAGGATTCTCTCTCCCTCTCCCTCTGCCCCTCCCCTGCTCGCACACACACGCACTCTCTCTAAAATCATTCAATCTTTTTTTTTTTTAAGATTTTATTTATTTGAGAGAGAGAGAGAAACAGCATGAGAGGGGATAGGGTCAGAGGGAGAAGCAGGCTCCCCGCCGAGCCGGGAGCCCGACGTGGGACTCGATCCCAGGACTCCGGGATAATGACCCGAGCCGAAGGCAATCACCCAACCAACTGAGCCACCCAGGTGCCCTAAAATAAATAAATCTTTAAAAAATAAGACAATACTATTGTCTCAGGTTTTTTTTTTTTTTTAAGATTTTATTTATTTATTTGAGAGAGAATGAGAGACAGAGCACGAGAGGGAAGAGGGCAGAGGGAGAAGCAGACTCCCCGCCGAGCAGGGAGCCCGATGTGGGACTCGATCCCGGGACTCCAGGATCATGACCTGAGCCGAAGGCAATCGCCCAACCAACTGAGCCACCCAGGCGCCCTCAGGTTGTTTTTAAACACATCAGGTGTGAGGTGAGGGGAGGTTAGGTAACTGGCTCAAGGTCACCCGGTCAGTTAGTGGAAGAGCACGCGTCCAGGCTCCGAGGTCCATGCCCCCAACTGCCGTCGGTACTACTTCTCTTGAGCAAATTTGTACTAAGTCACTTCCCCTCCCCCCAGAAATAGAATGCATTCATTATCCCACCATGCAGATAATGCCATTAATTTAGTTCACTTTTTACTAAACTTGTTTATGTGTATGCCTAAAAAATTAGTTTTGGGGCTTCTATGATTAATTGTTTATCCATCTTATGAATATGTATTATTATCTCCTCTCTAACCAGATTATAAAGTCTTCACAGGCACAGATTCTGTCTTATTGTCTGCACGTCTCCGTGAAAGTAATAGAATGCTGTTATATCCCTCCGTACGCCCTCAGCATTTTGAATATTCAGAATTCAGAGGTCTCAAGGATCTGCGGGGTAGGACATGTCTTCTGTCTGTACCATCTCTAGGGGCAACATAATTCATGTTTCTATTTATTTTAGAGTCTCAGGGTTACTGTTTTATAGAAACTTATGCTTGATGCAATCTGTTAATTACGGATATTAAGATAAATTCCAAAATATTTTAAAAGTAGGTCTTGGCTACAAGAAAGATGGTCAAATAAGGAGGAGGATCCGAGTATCAGATGAGCAGAAGAGAAATGGTCCTTGGCAGAGAGATGATTAAAATAACTTCTTCCTCATTTTGTGACTCACTATTGTGTGGGATTTTAAAAGGAGTTGATAAAATATCTTTTGAAAAGATAGCACATTATTTTGTGCACGTTTTGCAACCTTTGGGTTTGGTGCAGAAAGTAGTGAATTTCACCGTGTTTTGGTTGGAGTGGAAAGGAGACATAAAGAGGCCTCGTCTCACTAGGTTAAGTTTTTGAGGGAAAGAGACCTCCACGGTGGCCTATGAGCTTGGCCCTGATATCTACTAGTGTTGGGCTGAAGGAAACCACGTTGGTTGTAGATAACTTGTCTTTCGTGAGCATATTCTATGCTCAAGCCACTCTTTCATGTAATAATTCACTTAATCCTCAACAACTGTCTGAAGGAGATGCTGTTAGTGAGACAGGCATGTGAGACTAAGCCACATGGGCTTCAGAGTCATCCCTCCAACGCTCCTGCTGTATGGCAGTATTCCAGAATGGCCCAGCTTCAGAATGCCCAAGGACATACAGAGAAGCAGCATACGATTCTGGAAGGGGCTTTGGCCTTGGGGTCAGCTCCAGACCCAACCTTCATGGGAAATGGTGAAATGATTTCAATCTCAGGGCTTTGCTTGCCGGCCACTCATTGTCAAGCCCCAAGTTTGTATCTTCAACCCAGCCCTCTCTCCCGTGCTCAACACACTAGTCTTCTCTGATGCCCTCAGAGTTCTGAATTAAGTTCCTTCTGTTTCACCCCCAACCCGCTCCTCTTTGTCTTCCCATCATGATAAATGGCAACTCCATCCTTCTAGGTCACTTGGACCAAAAACTTGGGAGTCATCCTTGATTCCTCTCTTGTGCTCTCCTCCTATCCAGTCTGTCCACAGATTTCTCAGCTCTACCTGCAGAATGTACCCAGAATTCAGCCACTCTTCACCAGGCCCACTGGTGTGACTGGTCTGAGTCATTAGCAGTGAGCTGGCTTATTGCGATAGCCTCCTGACTGCTCTTCCTGTTTCCTCCTTGTTCTCCTTTCTCATAACAGCAGCTAGAGCGGTCTTGTTAAAACTTGCCTAATGGGGCGCCTGGGTGGCTCAGTTGGTTAAGCGGCTGCCTTCGGCTCAGGTCATGATCCTGGAGTCCTGGGATCGAGTCCCGCATCGGGCTCCCTGCTCAGCAGGGAGTCTGCTTCTCCCTCTGACCCTCCCCCCTCTCATGCTCTCTCTATCTCAGTCTCTCTCTCAAATAAATAAATAAAATCTTAAAAAAAAAAAAAAACTTGCCTAAGATCAGGGGCACCCGGCTGGCTCAGTCAGTGGAGCATGCAACTCTTGATCTCGGGGTGATGAGTTCAAGCCCCACAGTGGGTGTGGAGAGATTACTAAAACCAAGAAACAAACAAACAAAAACCACTTGACTAAGATCACATCGTTTCTACGCTCAGACCTTCCATGGCTTCCCAATCCCCTAGGAATAAAAAGGATTTTACTGTAGCTTAGAAGGCAGCACGCTCCCTCTCCATGATCTCTCTGAACTAACAACCTACAGCTCCCCCTTCCTCCAGCCACCAAGCCTCCTTGGCCTCCTTGCCCTCCTTGCCCTCCTTAACCTGCAGGCATGCTCCCCACACTGCTAGGGCCCTTGTATTTGCTCCCTCTGCAAGGAATCCTCTTCCCATGGATATCCACCTGGAACACAGCTCCCTTAACGGCTTTAGGTCTTTGCTCAACTATCACCTCCATGAGCCCTTCCTTGTCCTCCCTGTTTAAAATCACACTCATTATTTGCTGTCCCTTGTGATTCCCTTTCTTGCATTTTCTCCTTAGCATTTATCATTAGCTAACGTATAATATCATTTACTTATTTACAGTCTATCTCCCCCACTAGAATGTGTGCCCCAGGAGGGCGGGATTTTAGTCTGTCGTGTAGCCCTAGCACCTGGAAGGGTGCCTGGCACAGGGCCGGTGCTCAGTCTCTTTGTTGAATGAATGATCTCTTCATGTATTTGTCATTCCAGTTGTATCATTTATCTGTTGCTGCAGAACCAGATCACCCCAAAATTTAGTGGCTTGATACAGTAACAGTGATTTTATCTCTGTTAGTTCTGGAGGTTCCAGGAACAAGCATCCAGGAGGACCAGACAGAAGCTGTATCATCTTTTACAGTCCAGGCTTGGAAGTCACACAGTGTGACTTCTGCCTTAGTCATAAACCCACCTGGATGCAAGGGGAAGGGATGTAGAAGCCACTGCATGACAGGATGTTAGCATTGCATTGTAAGGATAGCTTCTGAGATAGGAGATACTGTTCTGGTCACCTTGCAAAATAAGATCTGCTGCATTCCCCTCCCACCAACAATTTACAGGCTCCCTATATGCCAAATACATCCATTTCTTCCCCCAAAGACTCCCAGATTTCATCCCATTATGGCATTAGCTTGAAGTCCAACATCTCATCATCCAAGACAAGTCCAGGTGCAGGTGAGTCTCCTCTGATGTGATTCTTCAGGTCCAGTCCCTGGAGTGCTACTCCTCTTGATTTAAAGCTCTGTGAACTAAAGATACAAGTTATCTACACACACACACACACACACACACACACACACACACCATACAGTGATGGGACAGATATGGAAAAATCATTATAGATGCTCCTATCCAAATGTTGCAAAATGGGAACACACAGGAGTCACTGGACCGTAGTAATTCTGAAATCCCACCTGGCACATGTTGCCAGTTCCTTATGTAGGAATCCGTCCTACAACCTACCAATTGTTCACCAAGACTCTCAACTCCACCCTCTGGGCTCTTGGGTTTTGCCCCTGCATCTTTCCTCCCTTTTCCATAACAAAACCTAATCACAATGAAGTGGGCATCTCAGTCTGTTTCCTGTTCATAAAAAGAGGTTGGGTTCAGAAGTCTCTTTCTCTATTGCCTTTCCTCTAAGCCAGAGGTACTTTCCTCAGAACAATTCCCTTAGAATTTTGTGGGTTTTCTATGAATCTCCTTGGGGTTGACTCTACTAAACAAAAGCTACACCCCTAAATCTCTTCCAGATAAACTCTTCCCTATTTAGGATTTCTTGTGAAATCCTTAAATCTTTCTGAAGCTCCTAAAGGGGTTTATAGTCACATTCTTGGCCTCGTATGTAGATGGTTTCTAAAGATCTAAATGGCTTCCGGAGGCAACAAGAAGAAGCCAGGTGACACTTTCAGTGTTTTGCCTTGCGATCTCCTGACCTCGATCATTGAGTCCACTCCTCCACATTTACTCTTCCTCTAACACAGATGACGGCATTGCCAAAACTTCCACCACCGTATGACAAGGGGCTTCTCTCCTTCAGCTTCCAATAACTTTTACTCACGTTCCTTTCAAGCCTCTTCAATGGCTTTTGGGCTGACCAACAGCATCCTCAAGGCACCCCCGTC